GCTTTGACAGGAAGGAGTTGCCATCGAAATTGCTGAAGCTGTTGTTGGAGCTCTGAATGGAGAGCTTGCTGCTACTGCTGTCAATGCACCGATGGTTTCTGCTGAGGTGAGTATTGGCCTGTGCTATTATATTGTTTCATCACATTCGAAAGTTGAATGAAAGACACAAAACTTGAATGAAAGACACAAACTTCTTAGCCTCTTTTTGTTGTGTGAGATTCTGATAAGCTATGAAGAAAATTAGCTAAGCTCAGCTCTTAGTTATAGGTCTTCTGTAGCTAGCCTAGGACTGAATGAAGCAGAGTAGAGCTGTTCTGAGTTGGTTAGAGAGCAGTTCTTGAGGACTGGAATAGGAATACCAGTTTCATAGCTTTGTTCTTATCAGATTTCAAGTATATTTTTGTTATTTGCTGAAGCTTACCTCATATTCTATCCGCAGGTTCTGACCGAGCTGAAACCATATGTGATACTAGCTGAGAAACTTGGGAGACTAGCTGTGCAACTGGTGGCTGGAGGAAGCGGCGTGAAAAACGTAAAAATCACATACGCCTCAGCACGAGCCACAGACGATCTTGACACAAGACTTCTACGAGCCATGATCACCAAGGGAATCATTGAGCCAATCTCTGACGTATATGTCAACTTGGTCAACGCCGATTTCACAGCCAAACAGAGAGGTCTCAGACTCTCAGAGGAACGTGTGCTTTTGGACGGATCACCAGAGAGCCCGTTGGAGACAATAAATGTTCAGCTAAGCAACGTAGAGTCCAAATTCGCCAGTGCGTTGTCTGATACAGGAGAGGTCAAAGTGGAAGGAAGGGTTAAAGACGGAGTCCCGCATTTGACGAAGGTTGGATCTTTCGAGGTCGATGTGACACTTGAAGGTAGTATCATATTGTGCAGGCAGGTTGATCAACCCGGTATGATCGGGACAGTCGGAAGCATCCTTGGAGAGTCTAACGTCAATGTTAACTTCATGAGCGTTGGAAGAATCGCACCGAGGAAGCAAGCGATTATGGCGATTGGAGTAGATGATCAGCCAAGCAAGGAAACTCTTAAGAAGATTGGGGAAATTCCAGCGGTCGAGGAGTTTGTTTTCCTTAAGCTCTAGTTTGGTGTGTTGTTTGAATCTTGAATCTTGAAAATGTGAGGATTTGGTGAAAGGGTTTTTACTTTTTACGTTTCTTGTTTAGGCAATAATGTTTGTTATCTTTGGCTTTGCTTACAGTTTTGGTAATGTTTGAGAGTAGAGTTATCTCTTTGATGTTTCAACTTGATGGTTCAGTTATTCGACTGCGTCCTCTGGTTTAAAATTTTCCCAAATATTTGAATTTTTGAAGCAAACATCAAAGAATTTCGATTCAGTTTGTTTATAACTCGGTACACAATTTTTCTTTCTTTTCTTTCTCATTTTGTTCGACGATGAACATGTACAAAATGTTTCAAATTGAACTGCAACATTAAACAACAAAACCAATTCAACCAACAGCATGTTTATTTAGTTAACCGATTAATTTCTTAATTGGTTCAGTTTGGTTTAGATAGTTCGGATCGGCTGGTACAACTGCTCAAACGCAGCCGTTTTGTGGAAAGGTTGGAGAAGATGAGTGGAGAGAAGACACGTGTCGCTCGCTCGAACAGATAATCCTGCAACGCTTG